AGAAAACATTTTAGAATTAAATATAAATAAACTATTGATAAATAGAAATGTTGGAAACATTAATTATTTAAATACAAACTTTCCATATGAAGTAAATAGTTATAAAAAAAAATAGTTATAAAATTCACACTAGATGTACTCAACTCCATAATATTTCTATGTATTTGTTAAGGCATGAAATCTATATTTATACAAATGATTTTTTATATATAAATATATTATAAACTACTATATTAAAAAAAGTGCTATAGAAAAACATAAATAGGCTTACAAATATCTTGCAAATAAAAAGTGTATGCTGATTAATGAATTGAATTAATATATTGTATTCAGTATTAACATTATTATATTAATTAATATAATTTTACAAGCAAATACTTATTTATTATACTTTATTATTTGATAGTAAACTCAAAATTACAACACTGAAAATTAATAGATGCATAACTCACAAATATATTAAAATATATTAACAATTATTGTAATTACGAGATATTTATATTATAAAAGTCAAAATAGTTCATTGTGTAAGAGTTCAAACTTGTAAGGTGCTTGTGCGCGAATGAAAAAGAAGCAAAAGGTGACATGCCCAAGTTTGATCTCGCCCTTTCATTACCAGAACAAATTCATTTCTTAACGGTGCGACTTCACAATAAATACATCGCTAAAGTGTAATATGAGAGACTATACAGATTTGCAAACTTAAACCTGCCACGTGACGAACATAATTACTATCCCAGCTTGTATAAGATACTTCGACGAGAAAATCCTGTGGAAGTCTTAATTTTCTTACAATATGAACTGTATAATATTACAGAACTAATTAATACACGTATATATATATTCTACCATAGCAAATTGATTTTATATTTTCATGAGTAAAATTGTTAAATTTAAGCAGATAATATTATATATACTATATTATCCATTATTAGTTTGGTACTGTTAATATTAAAAAAAAAACCGAAGAACATTAACAATAATGATATTTCCTTTTAAAATTGAGTCGCTATCTAACTAAATAAACTCAATCTATCAATAACTAGAACCACTACTAGGCCTAGTGTAAATAGGCAAACTAAAAATTGAAAAAAGAAATACAGGTGTAGATGTTGTAGAAAATCTCAGTAGAGACTGTGGAAATAAGGTTTCAAATAATGCAACTGAAAATTTCAATCGAAAAATTATAAGAAATTGTATGAAAATAATACAAATATCTATCAAGTAAGATAATAAATTAAAATAAGATAATATAGCAATTAAAATTTGCTTATTTAGATTTAGATTAGTTAGAAAAGTGTAATTAAATATGACAAAAAATATTTATTTTAATACAAATATGATAAATTAGGCAACAATACTTAATATTTACATACAATATTTAAATTAATTTATAATGAACTATTTTAATACTCTTAAAAATAAATTTTAAGAAGTATTTTTAAGTGATAGTTAAATTATTATTAAATTATTCTATCATTAATACATCTAAATGTTATTTTTACAATTATAATTAATTTAATATTTATTATCCTACTTATACCATTCTAATACATCTAATACTATTATATAATATAATTATATTATTACTATTTATAATAGAAGTATAAATAATTTATTATTAACTAAAAGTATCAAATTTAATTATAACATTTAATTACACAATTAAGTAATAAAATTATTATAAAATAAAATGGAGAGTAAATTTAAATAATCCATAGAAGAAAGATTATACAAGTATAAACTATATTATTATTGTGCTAATAAAAATTAGCAAATTTATTATAAATGCCAAAAATTGTAATAAGCAATAATAAATAGATACTCAAAATGATAATTTTAGTTACAAATAAGTAACTAAATAAAAACTAAATAAGTACATGTTAATTTGATTCTCAAAATGATACAAAATGATAATTTCTAATATTTTTATTCATTTAAAATTATGTCAATAGTACAATTTTTAAAAGTAAATTCATGAAATGAATTTTGTTTTAAATGTTTATATTAAATAAAATAATTACTTTTCATGGAAAATGTCTATCTACTTCAGTTTTATTCTTGTGACAATAAAATCAAATTCTATTATTTTTACTATTTTGTTATTTTAGATTCATATAAAATAAATTTTATTTATATAAAAATGTAAATGAACTAAAAAAGTTAATTAATAAATTTTCATATAAATTGGTAAACTCCTTATTGATGAAAATATTACTATTTTCATAAAACATCGATTTTCTATGCACCGTTATTGAAAAGTAAATTTAGAAATTTTCTTTAACGGCAAAATTTATATATCCAAGTATTATCAAAGTGGAAGGTTAATTTTTATATTTAAATACATAAACCAATTTATAATTTATATTTTTATAACAATATATATTAGTACTATTTAATGCTGAAACCACTAAAGTGCTTAAAAATAAATAAAAATAGATACTCTTTAAATTGAAAATAAGTAACAACAATGATATTTGGTAAAACAATCAGATATTGTAGGATAGATTTCTCATTCAAATTTTGTATACGTGTTAATGGTATTTTTATGAAGTTGATACTATGAAATTAAACTACGGAATAACACATTTATTTAAACAAGCATTTGATAATTGAACAACATGAAAACATAAATAATTTGCAGTTAAATAATAATGAATTGTATTAGTCTCCTTTTATGAAATTAATTCAGCTATATTCTTACCGTAGTACATAGAATATCAAGAAGAGGAAACAGATCAATATGCGCGAATAAACGGCATACGCGGTTAAAATATTGACAAACCGAGTGCACATCGATGGCTTTGTGTATTCGGCGATACCGCTATTATTGAGTAGACATTTGGCTGTAAACGCATTGAATGCATTCGGAAGAAACTGAACTAGTGAATTTAAGTCGATATTACTCGGTCATTAAATGAGTATTTACAAATATTTTGTCTGTATTTTTAAATATCCGATTTAAATTTTTATAATAACTTTTTATTCTTCAAAATACTAACAGAGTGCAATTAATAACGTAGATTATAAGTGATTATTCTACAATTTTCTATAAATACAGACATTGTATGTAAAATAATAAATTTAATTAGTTCTAGAAAGTATTTAATTTATTTTGATTTATATCTTGTATTCAATTTTAAACGAATACACTTTTTATTTATATTTTTATTTATATTTTTATTTATATTTTTATTTATATTTAATTTATATTTATATTTATATTATTAATTTTAAATAGGTTTTTAATTTTATATTTATGTTAAATTCTTAATTAAAATTTTTCAGTAATTGAGAAAAATATATATATACTTGATAAATTCATAAATATGACATATTATATTTAAATCATATTAAAAATAACTGTAGACCTGGCTTTCATTATAAATATAAATCAATCTAATTATAATTACTCTACAATTCACTTTAAAATCTATATACTTTAAAAGTGATAAAATATCATAAATATTAAATTATATAATTGATTTATATTTATTACAAATATATCCTTTAACCAACAGATTTTTTACCCACAGATTTAAAATTCCTCAAATATAATAAGTTCAAATGACATTTAATCTACGTTTTAGACTCTATGAAAAATACTTTATAACTATATAATATAATACCTTTAAAGTTATATAGTCATATTATAATCAGGAAATACAGAAATTATAATTATTTTGCAATATACTTTTCAACTAACTGAATATAATTGTAATAAATGGCATATTTTTAATTTTACAAACGAACTTCATAAGATTCGTGGAATATATAATTTACATCAATAAAATAAAATTAATTAATAGTTAATTAATATTCTCGAATCATGTTATGAACTATATTAATTAAAATTAGTTACAATTATGATGAAAAAACTATAATAAAAATAAATATGTTTAAAAAATTTATGTTTAAAAATTATATATAGATATATATATATATATATATATATATAATAGCTTTATTAATATTATTTCATAATACTTTAAAAACTTTAAGATTGAAAGTAACAAAAACTGAATTTGTAAAAGCTACTACTTAATACAAAATTCATAAGGATGAAAAACTACTATTTCTGACGACACATCGATCATCAAATAAATACAACATATAACTGCTTAGAAATAATAGCATTCAGAAAATATATAAAATGCTTAGAATAGAAACCAAAACTTATTATACCTTAAATTCATAGATATTCTTCATTAATAATAATTTAATCTAAATGAACAAAAATATACGTTTTTCTGTATACTTTATAAAATTTCATGTAATCGAATTAGTTATTGTTTTATTCGTTTCAATAATTTTAGAGGTATGAGACTATTTAATGCTATGTAATATATTATAATGAATTATTATATCCGAAGTAGGCAATACTTTTAATCGTCCTATTTAGGTGTTCACATAAATATACTGTAGAACTGTTTATGATATCGAAATAAAAATATGTAACCTATCATTAATGTATTCGTATTTAATTCTAAAAAACTGTTTACATAATTTCAATATTATGACTTCTGATATGACTACAATATAATTTTCCTTATTATATTTCCTTTAATAATAATAATAATAATAATAATAATAATAGAATCTAGATTAGTGACTGTTGTTTCACCTGTTCGTTGTTTCCTTACAAGAAAATTGAATATACTGAACTACGATAAGAAAATCAGTTTGAAGTGCGAGTGACAAAAACGAAATATGTGAAAGATATAAAACATACGAGTCTGAGAAACGAGTGACCGGTAGCTCGCATTCCTTTTCTCGTTTCTTTGCCGACATTGCCTGTTTCTCTTCGTAAAGGCATCAAAGCTAGCGAGAGAGAGAGAGAGAGAGAGAGAGAGAGAGAGAGAGAGAGAGAGAGAGAGAGAGAAGGAGAGAAACCGACGAACTGACAGGCAGGCAAACAAACATCGAGCAAAAGAATGATCGTGTTTTCCCGGGGTCCGCTAGGCGCGTGACCTTCGACGTTGCTGCTTTTGTAACCGGCAGCACTATACTTGGATCATCAGTCCGTGCCCAGTCTTTGCGGGAGCGAAGTCAAGCATCAGAACTACGTAATACGAGTACGTCGAAAATTGAAGAGGTCGATCAAACAAACATGCGAAGTTTTCATGTTTTATTTCTACTTTCGAGTTGCATTGCGCTTGCGCACACCTTTCCAGGTAAGCCTCGACTGCAACAAGTGTTCCTTTTCCATTCCGCTGACTCATGGCTTTTTACAGTTTTCGGAGTTATGTTAAACATTTGGTAAGGAAACCGTGCCTCTTATGCAAAATATTTATGGCTTGAAAAGAATTCCAATGGTGTTTCTTCTATGATATTTTTACGAACATCTACATGATTTCTTGATTACCAAAAATTAAAATAATTTGAGCCTGTTGATTATTGATCTTTTTTTAAACGTATTAAATTCCAAGAATAATCACTTTTATTTCATATTTTACTAGCCATTTTTCTGATATTCATGAAATTTTGTTTTCATGAATTCGGATGAATAAACAGTTTTCAGGTTTAATAACCTCTGTGTACATAATATAGATATAATTAATATTATAATTATAATATTAAAAACAAAACTAATGCACGTCATCATTATAATGAAATGCTAATGTAATGTAGTTAAAAATTAATAGTAAAGTTGATCACTCAAAAATCAACTAAAATAAATAAAAAAATTTGAATTATTACTTTAAAAATAATTATCTACAAAATTTGTTTATTAATAAATATAATTCATTTATAACAAATAAGTCAACATCAAATAAAAATATTAATTACTTGTTATATTTTATTATCAAATACAAAATGGATGCAGAATATACTTGTAATAATAAAAGTTAAGTATATATCACATTGATATATACCAAATAAACTACTTATATTTATTTACTCATACAAATATTTTAATAAGTTTAGTAATTAAATGAGTTTGAGAATTCAACATTCTAATAACCCGCTCTTTAGAACAATTAATAAATATTAAAGAATATAAATTTAAAAAGCTCATAAATTATCGATAAATAATACGATTAGCAAGGGTGATGTATCTAAACATATTCGCTAAGAATATAGTTTAGAGCAGTTTAACAATACGTGTATAATAAAAATGAAATCATATAATATAATTCCACAATAGAAATCTCGATTTATTTTCAAGGTACATATAAATTGATATTATTCTTAATTTTGTTGTCTGTACTTTAGCAGTAATTTATAATTATGAGCAAATATAACATATAAATAATTCAGATAAAAATTTTTAGCAAGTTCTACATTTTTCAACTCATGAATATTAAACAATTTTTATTGAAGTGATGCCTTTTTAAAGTAATTCCTCATTATTATTGTTATATTTCCAGTGAAGGTTAATTTATTAATATATTTTTCTTAAAAAATGCACTAAAATGAAATATATTATTAGTTGATAATTTGTTTTCGCTTAAAATTCATTCATACTAAAATAGAATATAGCACATTATTTTTCTAAATAAATGCTAGGTTCTTAATTATGCAATTTTTCATTTATGTTTTTTTTATATTTACTCATATAATTTTTTCATTCGATTGTTTACTTAAAATATAAAATACTTTTTCACACGTTTAAAATAATTTTATCATATTTTAATTATTTTAATAGTAATTATAATAATAATACTAACAAATGAATGAAATACAAAATTTAATAATAATTCTATACTTATGCGATAATTATTGTAGCAATAATTATATTGTCATTATAAGCTAACACTAATTAATTATTATTTAATTTCTCTCTTTATCAACAAAATAGTTATAAAAATACAATTATTATAAGAAAAAATATAAGCTTTTTATATTCAAATACAATATACATTGAAATATAGAATAGGCTATTTCTTGTAACAATAATCTTTACTATATACAAGCATAGAATCAGATGTAATGTAATGTATGTTGCGTTACTAACTCGTTCTGCATCTAAAAACTGTATTTTTCAGATAAAAATGTTTAAATAAGTTTTTTATAAAAAAATTTTATAATTATATTTTCAAATAATAACTTTACATAAATAAGAATTATTGAATTATTAATTAAATTATTTTGTTCATATAGTATTTCAACTTTAATTTTATTGATTCCCAAAAACGTTCTCAGCGTTTTATTTTTTTAGAAATTAGTGTACCTACAATTTTCAGTGATTTTTTCGTCAATCAGGAGTATAATTCCATTCAATTGAATTTATTGTCAATTAAATAAAAAAATAATAGGTAGTATCAATAGAAAAAGTATTTGATTAGCATTTTTCTACCACCAAATTCACGTCCGTACTTTTCCGTAAATGTTTTAAAACATCCGTATTTATTATTAAGTAATAGAAAATAGTATACAAAGATTTAAAATAATGCAGTTATTAGTGAATATCGTTTGAATTTACCCTTTTCCTTAAATAATCTATATATAATGAATTAATAAAGTGTTTCGTTCACTATTTAATTATATTCAAAAAGAATACAAATGACACTATTTTGACGATCTAATAAATAGATATTAATTATTATATTTAATTATTGCAATGTTATAATCATTTTACTTGTTAAAATAATTGATTAAACTAAAAAAAATTTATGTTATATTATTGTTAATAAATAAAAACAATTGTATATTATCGAATGTTTATATTTGTTCAGTTTAAGCAACATTTTAGTGTTACGTCCAGTATTCAGAATAAACCATTTTTAAGGCGCAGTCAGCCATTACAAAAATGAGCTTGACCTACTTAAAAAAACAAATAATAAAATAATCCACTATTCTTTGTGAATTATTGCAAATGCATTTGCTACATTTATCCACTATCAAAATGCAAAAGAACACTGAAATCATTTCGATCAAAATATAATTCTTGTGTGCTAATCGTAAACAACAATTTCTAATGAATTATCTACAAACGTCTCAGTCATTCATAAAAATATTAGCATTATATATAAAAGCATCTATCAACAAAACAAAAATCTGTAGTAATTATCATAAATTCTTATGATCACTGTATAATATTTACGTGATCTCTGTTGGCAATATTCCGTTTGAGATCTGTAACCTATGTTTTCTGTTTCTTTTATTGATTGTGTCAATCACTAATTGTCTACTTATATTAAATAAACATTCTGTTGAATAAAAGAATAATAATATTAAACCGAACTTAACCATAACATAATTTTAAAATGTTAGCAAGTCTTAATTTTTCTCTCTTAACACTTGATATAGACTATTCTTGTTTTATTTATTGAAACTAAATATATTTTTTGTTGTTACTTTTAGTTTTACTATTTCATTGCAGTTATACGTTCAAACATATATATATATATATATATATATATATATTTATTTATATGTAATACAGTACTTATCAATTGTAGCTCAACAATAATTTATCTTACATAGGGAAACCACGAATGGGCATTATTCAATTGAAATTTTCATAATTATCTTAATTAATTTTTTCCATAAATATATTAATTGAAACTAAACGCACAATTGGAAGTTCACGTTTTTAAATTTTTGTAATTTATCGTAAAACTTATTTATTAACAGAACGTTTAATGGTAATAACCTATATTATTTATGCATTCTCAATCATATCATTATTTTTACTGTTAATAGTTATGTATTTATTTTCAAATTTATTTTTAAGGAAATCAAGCTTATCATATAGTTCCAGTAAATATTGATGTTATGAGTCGTAAACGTTTAAGAAGAACGATATGAAAATAAAAAAATTAATTTATGAAAAAATTATATTTATTGTTACAATTATATAAACAATTTCCAAATATTTTATCTTTTCAGAGTAAAATGTAATAAATTTTTTATGACAATTCAAAATCAAACTTATTTTTATATTTTCAACATAATAATATTAATATACTTCGATAAAATTTTATTTATTAAAAAAATTTAAAAACCCCTTTTTTAGCTAATTAATTTACTAATTATATATTGATTCCGTATGAATAAAATTGGATTCTGTATTTATTATACTTCTATTTTGATTAATTATTTTGGATATAAGAACAACAAAAATGTCATAAAATATTGTTAAATATTTTATATATAAATTTACAGTCTGAAAAATAAATATGTTTATGGAAGATCAGTTCGGTAAAACCAAAAGTCAAAGGTCTCATTGTTACCGTTGATAAATAATGAAAGAAATTTTATTATCAGCTTAAAACTTCTTTCGAGTAACAATTAAAACTGTTCAATGTTAATATTTTGATTTTGTTATTTTTAATTTTACACTGTTGATATTATTAAATAAATAACATTATTTCAGTAATGAAATATTAGTTATAATAAAAAATAATTATAATACATTGTTTAAAATTCAATAATAATTATATAAATGGAGATAATTTATAATACAGTTGTAAAATTATTATTATTTATTTATATATATGATGCCAAAAATACTCTTATACTCATTATAATATTATTATTATAAAACTTTTGATAACTTCAGAAATTTTGACAAATGCACAATAACATTTTATTAATATCACCACATATTGAAATAACAGCAAAGTACGCAAATAAATAACTGATTTGAAATAGAATATTAAACATTTGTCTCACATTGGATCCTCTATATTAACTTTTAAAGTTATTTAATGCTATATTTTTATATTTTCATTTTTTTTCTCATTATTTAATTAGTTTAATTTTCATTATTTAATAATTTCATTATTAAAAACTATATTTTTTCATCTCAAACACAGTACTAATTTGACCTCTTTAAGTACTTTAATTAATTTTTTATTTATGTATTTAGACTTTTGTAAGAAAATTTTAATTATAAAAGTATTAATAAAAATTCATTAATTAAATTTTTTCTTTCATGCAGATAAAACTTACTATTAGCAAACAGAGGTTCATTATTTATTCAACGTTAATAAAATAATATTAAACAATCTTAACATAAAATTTATTTTACAGAATCCATATTATAAATTCACTTTACCTATGAAGCAGAAAATTCACAATTTAAAAAAACGTACAATTTAGTTATATATTTATGTATATAAAAGTCTACATTTTATAATTAAAATTAGAATTAATCTATTTTGAAACATATCTTAACAATATTGTCTTAGTAATATTTTCAAATCTATTTTAATTTTTGTAGATT